AACAGCTGAAAAACAAAAATGGGATGGAATGTTATTGCAACAGATTACAATACACAAGACAACAGTAAGTGCAGTACAGACAACAGTAAGTGCAGTACAGAAAAACTGTCAGTATTATTGCTAGAATTCACACAAATGGTGTTTCTTCTACAAAAGGGATTCCCCACTTTGCCCCCTGAAATTGGTTTTGGGGATTGAGAGAACCCCCAGAACAGCGCACAGAAGGAGGGAGGATCATTCCATTTGGAAGGTGATATTCCACCAACTTGCGGAGGAAGAGAGGAGCAGGGCTACTCCACCAACTTTGTTGAGGGACCAGCCGCCTTTGTCTCTCCCTCAATTATCTTTCTTAAATACCATACTTTCCAGTGTCACCTGTTTTACTTCCTGCAGTGACAAAATTAATAGCTACAGTATCTGTCTATATTTGTACTCCCTTGTGTCCACCTAACAATACCTATTAAAATAGTAATAACTTCCTAGCTACTCTAGTAGTGTTCTAATTGTTAGAACATGTTCATGTTTAACTTCCAACCCTAACAGTAACTGACACAATATCCTGAGTTTTAAGATTCTTAAAGTTATAGTATTCTGGGCTGAATATGTATGATACTCCCAAGAGTTATGATAACTAAAACAAAATGTTTATTTTCTACAAGAACTGGGATTAGAGTATTCTGAAGTCAAGACTTTCAAGATTCATTAACAGAGTGCTATGCAAGTAGCTGACTTACATCCTTCACCCATACAAGGTGCAATAATTTAGTTTAATGTAAACAAGTCAGGGCCGGATTTAGGTTTGATGAGGCCCTAAACTACTGAAGGTAATGGGGCCCTTTATAGTTCCAGCTGTACTTTGCCAACAACAAATTGTCGCTGTTTTTTGTTGTTGAATATATGCTATATGGTAATTTATGGACCTAATAGGTATCTAAAGCCATTTGCCACTGTTGCTGTATGTAGGTTTTTATTTTATTTGTTTTTTATCTTATAATTTGGAAATGTACATCCAGGTTTTTTTTCTTTAAATTTTTTGGGGGCCCCAAGAGATTGGGGCCCTAAGCTATAGCTTGTTTAGCTTATATGTAAATCTGGCACTGAAAGAAATGTTCAACATGGGTTGAGGAGGTTTAATAAGGCTGCAATCCTAAAACCACTTACCTGGGCTGGGAGGAAGCCCCATCAAATTCAAAATCTAAGGTCAAATCAAACATTGAATTCAATAGGACTTACTCCTGTAAGCCCTATACAGTATTAAGAATGCAAGAAAAGCCCTGCTGGATCAGGCCAAGGGCCCATCTAATCCAACACCCTGTTCTTACAGCGGCCAATCAGATGACTATGGGAAATCCACAAGCAGAACCTGGAGTGCAGCAGCGCTCTCTTCAGTCGTGACTCCCAGCAAGCCTTATCCTCCATGAAATTGTCTAATCCTCTTTGAAAGCAGTCCAGGCTGATGGCCATCACCACATGCTGTGGGAGCAAACTTCATAATTTAACTATCTGCTGTGTGAAGAACGACTTTCATTTGTCTGTCCTGGGTTGCATTTACCTCAGTAGCAGTTTCCTCTGCTGTAAAGAAGCGGTTGGTTCCCCCCACCCCATCTTTTATAGTTTACTGTCAATTCTAATATAGTGGTACCTCAGGTTAAGAACTTAATTCGTTCCAGAGGTCCGTTCTTAACCTGAAACTGTTCTTAACCTGAAGCACCACTTTAGCTAATGGGGCCTCCCGCTGCCACCGTGCCGTAGGAGCACAATTTCTGTTCTCATCCTGAAGCAAAGTTCTTAACCTGAGGTACTATTTCTGGGTTAGCGGAGTCTGTAACCTGAAGCGTCTATAACCTGAAGCATATGTAACCCGAGGTACTACTGTACCGATGTTATCTTCCAAATGCAACTTTATTGCAAGTTACCCCAAGGAATCTTTACTGGTGGGTGGCCAATATGTAAGGAACGAACAAACAAACAAACAAACAGGCGGGCGGAATACCAAGGAGGATTTTGCCTAATGCTGCAGGGACACCATATATTAAATATCCTGGGTTTGCTAAGGACCCTGGAAAATTGTAGTTCTGTTAGGATGTGTGTGTGCAAATACAGTTGCCAGAAATGAAGCCATGTGTTTTTAAATGTACGGTGAGGATCCGCCCTCCAGAAGCTTCACCTGCAGGTTTTCTGTCTGCCATTCAACTCTATTTTTTAAAAAAGCAAAATTTCGAGTACCGTCCCCATTGGGGATCCTGCCCAGGCAACGAGGCTTCTCGTTCTCCTATCCCACCGAAACCCTGCAAGGGGTTGCTCAGCTCCCTTCGCCGCCCTCAGTACCTGTCGCCGAGGCAACGCGGAGCCCACGATCCTCCGGCACCGCAACATGACGCGCAGCGCACAGGCTTCCAGTCCGCGCCGCTGAATGTCACGCCGTCCACGACTCCCAGCCCCACTTCCTGCCTTAGCCGGCTTGCGCTTCCGGGGTAGGGCCATAGAGTTGCCCAGCGGGACACTCCGCTGCAGCGCCCCCTTTAGGGAGGAGGGAGGAACTGCTCCGAAGGGGAATCTGCTTTGGAAGCGAGGAAGCAACCTTGCTTTTCCCCCCGTTGCCTTGTTTGCATGTGGTGTCCTTTCCCTACCCGCCCCGCAAATGGATTATTTGCTGCTTAAGTTTAAGCTACAGTTTGTTTGCATTCATGGGTCTCTCCTGGACGGTGTGAAGCTACTGTTGTGGGAGGGCTGTTCTTCCTCCCAGATCCATTGCCTCTGAAGCGAAGTGGATCAGGGCTTTAAGGTAGCTGTGCTGGAAGCAAAGGAATTCCAACGTGAAGCTGCTGACATTTGAGATATATGTTCTTAGGAACCACGCTGTATTTGTTTTAAACAGTTAGTATTGTGTTTTTAAATTGGTGGGACCTTACAATGAAGCACAGGTCATAAATAAATAAAACCTGCAAGTGCTGATGCAGGTATTTTCAAAAGTAAACTTTACCCCAGTGGGCACACAACAAAGCTGAGAACTGAATCGCAATTTCATCCCGAGTGATGATAATTCTATAGAAATCCCGATTCTAAGTGCACACACAGCTCTAAAAGCCCGGTGATGTGAAATAGTATGATTACAGCGGTGTTGTGTATTTGTATTTGTGTATTGTTACTGATGGGACGCGGGTGGTGCTGTGGTCTAAACCACTGAGCCTCTTGGGCCTGCCGATTGGAAGGTTGTCGTTTCCAATCCCTGCAACGGGGTGAGCTCCTGTTGCTTGGTCCCAGCTCCTGCCAACCTAGCAGTTCAAAAGCACACCAAAAACTGCAAGTAGATAAATAGGTACTGCTCGGGCGGAAAGGTAAATGGCGTTTCTGTGCACTGCTTTGGTTTCGGAGTTGCGCCAGAAGTGGCTTAGTCATGCTGGCCACATGACCCAGAAAAACTGTCTGCTGACAAATGAAGCTCCTACAGTCAATAGGAAGCTGCGCACACCTCCGCGCTGGAAGGAACGCTGGAAATAGTGTTTGCGCACGTGCACACATTCGGGCCCACTGTGGTGTCTGCGAGACCGTGAACCAGCTCAAGCCACAAAAACTTTGCCAACCCCTGCTTTAGTTGTTTTTTTCAAGTTTAAGATTCTTGAATATTTGGGAGGTCAGCGTAACTAAGCAACTCAGGCCGTGAGCCAAATAATGCATCTAGCCAGAGACTCATCAAGCTTCACTACTCTATGTTTGGCACTTCTAAATTGAGAATTAAAAGGCTGTACAGAATGTGGAATGCCACAAGCACATGCAGCACGGCTAGAACTTTGGAGGATCTTTCATGGGGGACAGTGAAGAGAACCTTTTCAAACTAAAGCTTTTGCTGACAGTTTGATCCCAGCCAAAAGTTAGCTTTCCGAGCTTTAAAGATTGCTGTAAAAATATATGTTCACCCCGAGTCAGGAAATGTGTTTTTAAAACTTTGCAATTACACATAAACTTGGCATTACTAGTATTGGTAACATAAAGTTGTCCTTTATGTATGAAGTGGCAAATATAAACTAACTGATCAACTAGGTAACTAAACTAACCTTGTGAAAGGCCAGGAACCACAGACACATGGAACTTAGGCTTTTATCATTGCCAACTAGAGGGGTGAGGCAAAATTTGAACCGGAGGAGTTCACTCAGTCACAGCACTACTGGCATCAGTTATGCAACTCTGCTTCTGGAAACTTGACTCAACCACCTCAAAATTTTCCTTTATTCTTATGGTCATAGACCAATGAGCTTGCTGAACTGAATGTTAACTTTGCACCATTGTTTTAACAGAAACAGAGGTAAGGGAGTTACTATAGATTTCACTCAAAAATCCAGGTAACCTGGCCAGGAAAAGTGGCATTATGTAGAACACATGCTGTCCTATAAATGTGGTTTAATCCATGTTGGAGTTCCCTACATTAAGAGCAGGGAAGCAAACTGAACAGGTGGCAATTTCAAAATCTTTGCACTTCTTAGCTTGATTACATGCCAGCCATAATCCTAAATGGTAGGTTAATAAATCAAGGGATTTATTTCAACATCCCAGGGCAGAATCGTGTTTCCTGGCAGCATCTACTAGATTCTGTGAACCATCTCCACTAGTTTTAGAGAGCTAGGCTCCTATTTTAGGGAGCTAGTGGTTAATGGACTACAATTCCAGCAAACAGAGTTGCATTATAACAACATCTCTCCTACCCCTCCTGCCCAGAAAAAGAAAAAGAAAAAACGTCTGGGGAATAGAAGGGTGTTTACAACAGCATAGGTAAATTACAAGCTTGGGAAATGTGATGCTAATACTCGCTTTTCTTTAAAATACAATCATGCTGTTTCTCAGATATCCAGTATATGAAATGCCTATTCCTTAGCAGAAGATGTAACTCTCACAACTAGATGACAAGTATAGCATTATGTTGAATAGACCTTTATTAATAAAGTGGCAAGTGTTATTCATGAACTCTCCATTAGATTCATAAATTTTGATGCAATACTAGCAGCTCAGATAATGAGTATTAGCCTATCGTTTATTCAACATGAAGAACATACATACATATAAATGTCATGTGCAACTTTAAAGGGTTGAGTAATTGGGTGATAGTCAGTGGTAATCATACTGAGAGTAGACCTATCAAAATCAAAGGATCTACTCACACTATGAGTTAGCTGATTATCTTCTACAATAACATGCTGAAATATAATTAATTTGAACTTTCCTTGTTGTATATGTTGTACCTTCTGTTAATTACCTAACACACAACAATTCAAGTGTCAAAAGTTCAAGAAACTATACAAGAGCATTATTTGAACTGGCAAGCCTTAACCAAACTTGTAGAGTAACTCATTACTTCACTTAATTTACAGCTAACTGGCTGAATATGACCATACTTGGAAAAATGCTTTATGAAGTCTGATCTCTAAAACGAATGGGAGCCTCCTGTATATTTTACAGTGAAGACACATCTAGCAAATCAGCTTCTCCACTGTTCTCTAAATCTAACAATGGATTTAAAATATGCCTAACTCAGTGTTGGGTTTAAGCCTAAGAAAGCAAGTATGTCTTATTACAATTTTTTCTCTCCAAATTTTCATTTTGTTTTGAAGGAAAACCCTCCACAAATATCAGAACAACCCCATCTTCCAATTTTTTTCATCAACTACAACAACTTACAAGAGAAAAAGAGAAGAAACCAACCAATAGAAGAACCAAATAATAATGAACAAGCCAAGGGGGTAAAGTGTGGTCACAAATGAAAAGAAGAAGATGCAGAGCATTACATTGTTATGTGTAATATTAGATAGAGCCCTCAATCACCATTAGTGGTTTTTCTGCATTTTTGCTCCCATTTTGAAGGCTGAAGATGAAAAGGGCTTCAGTGGTCACTTTCTTTGAATTCCTACATGCACTACCAGCATCAAGTGGCCACAATTTATCTATCTTAAAGGGAATTATTAGTATTATAATATAATATAAGGAACTGTAGTAATTAGATAGTGAAAGAAAACCTACTTTATTCAACCACAGGGGAAACAAACCAGTATAATCCGATACACAGAGATCCAAGTGAGTCATGTTGAGAAATTTAGAACCCATTTCTGGAGCTCATGTAATGTCCCAATGACTTAAGCGCAGCAATTCAAATTCTTCGTGTTCTTTGCCCCAGAAAGTCTTATGGGGTCTATTTAGGCAACCTATATTGATAACATCTGAACAGCGATCAGATGCAACATGGAAACTGGATCAAGTTAGTTCATGGTTTTTCTATTCACAATTCATTTAAAAGCCCATTACATCTAAATCCAGAAACCGTTTTTCCTTCACAAGAATGTCAACGAATTATACTCTAGGTTGTTCTCTAGCTCAAGTATGACTCCTAACTTCAATCTGCCCAAAAGGTTAGAGCTTGTTTTAATATGTAGGACAGTAACTTTCTTGCTATAGGGAAGAGGCTAGTAACATGCATTTTAATCTTAGAAAAGAGCATGATAGAGCTGAAATAGAGGATTATCTTTCAAGGAAGCAGAACAGCCAACAATTTAGGAAATGGTTGTTGTGTAAAGAGATATGCAAAACAGAAAAATTATGATAAAATTCAATTTTATTTATGCAGCTTATCTAACTTTTTTTGCAAGGCTCATCAATATTGACTGTTACTCATCAATATTGACTAGAAGTGTAGTATACATGCTATTTCATAAAGTATTGCTTAATAGATCTAGATACTTCTTTACAATGCTTTAGACACTGACAGATTGGATCTTCACCAAAACTACACCCGTAATGCTTGAGTTAAAAACTGCAGTTTATTAACTGTACTTCCTTGAATACCTGTACATGTAGCTGCAATGATACATGTTTTGTTTTGTTTTTGGCTCTACACTTGCTGGAGCACTGTTAATGCAAACTATTTGCTTTGACATTCTGCCTCATCCTAAAAAAAAGAAAATAACTCCGTAAAGTGCTTTCCAGCATCAGTGTTTTCCTTAACTACTCTCAAGGCCAAATGTTACCAAGGAGCTGGAGCTATCACAAACATTCAATAGTCAAGAGAGCAAAATTCACTACTGCTAGAAACAGAGAGCTTGGTCTTAGTCGTTGATCCAGAATTATTGCGTCCTCCGAAGAAATAGCCTGATGACATGAAAAGCCAGACAGCAATTTATTTTTTGCTGGTTTTGAGCGGAACATGTGATCCCTTGATATTGAGCTTCTCCACAGAAGGTTTAGGCTTCCTGGGTCCCTCAATGGATACCCTTGGGCGGGGGGTCTTCTCTCTGAAATAGTATTTAGAAAGATAGAATACTTGATGTTTGGGAAACAGGTTACGAAAAATAAGGGCACTGAACTCTCATAGCCAGATAACAACCAAGCAAGTGCAAAGGCTATACTGTATTATTATCAGTTTCCTCACAAAACTAGAAGGTGAAACCTGGGGTCAAACTCTCCCTCCCCTCTTTCATTTCATTTAAAGAATTACAAGACTACTGCTTAAATCAATATACACCCATAGTTAAATGCAGAGACTTTCCTAATGGGAGAGGGAGTGAAGTAGGCAGATAAGACACAGCCTTTCCCCCCAGCCCAATTTACATTCATCTTAATCCATGCAGGACCATTAAGTCAGTCCCTTGTTTCTTCCACAGGCTCTTTTTTCTGAAGGCCCTTCTCATGAAGGTGTCAAACTGAAACTGGAAAGTTCAGGATCAAGACTGGGTCTCCCACACCTGCAATCCAGCCGCAACACAAGTGTGCTTGCATGGGTGGTGCATCACAACACTTGTCAACAGCAGTCAACAAATGTAATTGCACAAAACTGTCAAAGCACAGGAGACATCTACTTCAGTGAGAGCATTCTGACATTCTTTTTTCTTACAGAAAACTGGGAAAGCAGCGAAGCAAGACAACAATGATTTATACCTCCTTATTGCATCTTCCTTGCTTATGTGATGGCTGTTTCTATGTCTTGGTGCATCTATACCATTTCTTATTCCTGAGGGTTTGTACTTCAGAATCTCCTTCTGCCATTGTTCATCAAATGCATGAGCTTCACCTGTGCAACAAACGAAATTTTAAAGTGAGCATCCTTACTTGATGCAACCAGTGCAGGAAGTGTTTAAAAGTACTATATCCCAATACAAAACACGAATAGGGGGGTGAAGTGGAGATAAAACATCCATACTAAATTTTATGTATATGTATGTGCACCTCTGTAAAACATTGGCAGAACTGTGTTACTACAAACAAAAACCCATGTAAGCCACAAGGTTTCTTACCTTCATCTAAATTAACAAATTCTTGATTCAGTTCCTCATCACCAGTTTTGTTGTTCTTGGCCTTCTGAACAACATGAGCACGATCTTGAATGTGATGACCAATTGACATTTTTTCAAGCCCACTTTCAGAATCTTTAAGTGCTTTTCTGGTTTCTTTAATCTGTACACACACACACACACAAATTAAAAAGTCACCACTGAGAAACAATATTTTCAATCAGTATTTTGGATTTCCCTTTTCAAGCAAACTGTGCAAGATTATGAACACAGTGTATGCAAATATCTTGTCTCTGCTGTAAACAGGGAGTGAAGTGAAAAGGAAACAGCATGTCAAACACACAACAAATGCTAACATCTGAACACAATATAGAACCAAACACAGTTGGAGATTTACCTTCATTTGTACTGCGGCAGTTGCCATTTTGAAGAGATAAGCAGCTGTTCCATTTAAAAAACAGCTTGTTTCTTCGGCAGCAAGAACTGATGCAGCAAAAAGAGGGCAGACAAGGCAAATACCCAGTTGTGTACTTAATTCACTATTACTTGCATTCACTATTACTTGTTGAACTATGGCCACAACATGCATGTCTATATCCACACAAAAAAGGAGCTGGGATCTATTCCTACCACCTCAAGGTCTTGATATTATTCTCTGTTAGAATGGTTTCAAAAACCACCAGAGCCTAATCTAAATATAGCCTGTGAATGGACCTTTCGGCTTCAGAGATAAGTGTGTGTTGGTATTTGCTACATGAAAGGGACACCAACTATTAGTATGTCATGCTAACCAACTTGAAAATCTTGGCTTCTGCTTATCGGCATGCTCATAGGTGTATTATTAGAAGCTTTTTGATAACCAAGTGCTGGCTAGAGCTCTGAAGTGATCTGCTATAAGTTATTTTCAACAGCCTTCTGCTTATATATAATCATTCATGAACCTGACTTCAGGGTTCAAATTCAAATTTCTTAACAAAATTAGATGTAACAGCTGTGAGGAAGCCAATGAAAGGGCATCTTAAGCATTATATAAGCATTTAAAAGTCAAGTACTTGGTCTGAACAGATGACACCTATTTTATGCCACTGCCAGTTATTTGTAGCATTGTAGGATATATTCATGTGTATTGTTGCTTAGCTTCTTCAATGTTCCTCTTCAACTAATCTCACTGATAAATGCCATAAGAAGCAGTAGGCCAAGTTACACAACACAAACCCATGGTTTGGCACTATGGGATGAACTCTATGCTCACAAACTCACTTGTGCCCACCACTTAGTTGTCTACTTCCAGGAAACCACAGCAAACCACATATAAATAGGGTTTGTACTTGCTCTGCAAACCAGGGTTGTAAATGGGGTTTAAAATGGTAAAATTACAGTTTGTTATGAACATGAAGATTTACAAAGCTTATGCTCCCTCTACATTATTACTGCCCCATCCTTCATTCAAAATCCGTTGATTCATCTCAACGGGGAACCCCCAAACCCCAAGAGACTAACTTACCCCTCCTGGAGCCACACGTGTCTGAGCTGAAGCCTGGAAAACCTTTGGAGGTTCATCACCCTTCTTGGAATAAGTCATCACTGAGGAAGAACTGAATGAGTGAGCATTTGGATCAAGTGCCATTTTATCCTGAAGTTAAACATAATAAATGATTAAGAACAGCGTAAACACCAAGACAGAAGTCCATAGCAGAAGCCTAGATTTAATGTTGTACAATGCTCCATTTAGATTAGGAAAGGAGAAAATCTTACGGGACTGCAACTCTCTCGAGTCTTTAAAATGCCATAATGGCTGTCCTAAGCCTGCCAAGTGTTCAGAATGACTAAGCAGTGAAGCCCATTCACTTGGAGAACAGAATTTAGAACCACGCTTATTGTACACAACAGCAGATTTGTAAGCAGTCGCTTGCTTGGGCACCTGAAGCATGTAAAAATACACGCCAGGACACCATATGAATTTAATGAAGAATGCTTGTGTAGTTTTTAGTTTAAACATTAAGGAAAATACAAACTTACAAAATTTCTGTGCAGTTCCATCATACTGTTTCTCATGTTTGACATCATTCTGTCCATTGCAGAGAAATGATCCCTGAAATCCATGTTCTGCCAGAAGAGAATTGAAAAGATAATTAGAGAGAAACATACATTCACCATGAGGTTCTTGACACTGTGTGTGTGTATATATATATATATATATATGCACACAAATACATTTTTACTTCTTTGAAGGGCACAGCAGAAGAAGGGAAGAGACCACCTTTAATAATCCCCATTAAAAAAAACACAAGCGAACATTAAAAGCAAGCAAGAATACCAGGGTAAAAAGTACGAGTACAAGGTACAACAACAAAGATTCCATGTGTGTGAGGTGGTGAGCACATGATGCTTTTTAAACCAAGCATTTTGATTTGATTTGTATCTGTCTTTTCCCCTCTGCAGATCTAATAGCAGCTGGGAAGCAGGGAGTAATTCAGAGTGCAGAAAAGGCATTAGTTAGAAAGGCTTAGGCACCTTCTTCCAAAGCGACACTTCCCCAATTTCCAAAGCAGCCCTGTGGGGTTTCTAATTAGCAAAACCAAAACCATGGCAGATCCCATGTCACCTCTAGTCTGGCCCTTAGTCTACTAGAGAGGAAAGTGTGAGAGGCTTTTTGAAATACAGTTCTCTAGAGGGATCAGAAAGGCTTTTCTCATTAACCTCAAATGAACTTGGTCAAAGGATGGACTGATTTCATGTAAGAATTTTTAGGATAGATTTCCCAGCCATTGTAAATTTCTGAAATCCTACTGCACAGTAACTGCCTGAAGTAACTATCACAAAGGTAACTAAAGTAATGTTGGGAAAAAAAGCCAACTCAAAAAATGAAAGCCCTCCACAAGTGAATTTGAGAATGTTGCAAGGTATTAAAAGGCAACACCTTGTTGCTGCCTTTTTTCTTTTATACAGTAACATTATGTAGTTATTCACTGGGGTAAAAGGGAACAAAAATTAATTATTTTTTATCATTAAATGCTCAAAAAAGCTGCACTCTTTTGTATGGACTATTTGAATTGGCTAGGCCTAGATCAGGACTTTATGAGTTGATGAAAGAATCTATGACTCAGATTCCAGTCTATGATTTATTATATGTAATTTAGGAATAAAATTTCACTTGCTGCAAAGGAGAATATGGTCTGTTGAGAGTGCACAACAAGTAGGCTTATATGAAAGACTGTTGACTTGGCTCCAGTGTCTGTTATGACTTCTCAGTTACCAAGGCTTCCGTTTACATAGATACCATTTGTCACATGCATTCCAGCCGATGGATTACTAGCACAAGACACATGAAACATTAGCAGAAGCATGCAAAAGCCTTTATAGGAAGTAAACTGGGCTCACTGAGAGGATTAATGTAAGATATAATGGTGACTTTATGTACCATGTATAGTGGAAAATGCAGGAGAAAAAGCGAGGAGGTGTAGGTTTGGCTTTATGCAGCCAACACTTCCTGTGAGTCCTTGCAGGAGCATTACTGCCCTTGAGAGTGGCCCAGTTGGGGCTTGACTGCCCAGATTAGGAGCCCTTATATGCACAGGTGACGGCTGTGGAGACATCCATCCCCACCTGGTTGAGGCAGGTACAAATAGTACAGGGCAACGTGGTTGAGGAGGAAGAGGATGATGGACCAAACACTGCTGAGGCTTCCCACAGTTGGATCTGGTGGAGGGGGGGTTGTTTCTTTGGAACTGTTCCTTTGGGGTTATTTCTCATTGTATGAAGGTCTACTGTCTGAGGGGGTTTTTGTTGTTGCTGTTTGATGAGGTTTTCCTATTCTGTTCAAATAAAAATATATTTTCCTTCATAGACTGACTACAAAAGATCTTTTAAAGAACCTGCAGTGTTAATTGGCAAAACATTGTGTGCCAAAAAGCTTCACATCCATTGGCAATTAAACCCAAATTCTGTGCAGAACTGGGCACATCTTATAGATATTTGCTTGGTATAGTCTATGCTAGGCTGCAAATATATCTGTAATTTTTGAGAAAAGGGCCCGGGAAGCAGAAAGAAAGTGAAGCGAATAAAGAAATGGCCAGGGAAATTGAACCTCAAGAACAGTAAATGATATACTTTCCAGAGAAAACAAGAAGCTGTGGCATAACTTCGAAGCCATAATTTCTGGAAGCTTCATCAAAGCTTCTCTGCTTATTTAAACTGCAACAGACAATGGTTCCCATACATTTAAAAACTCTCTTCTGAAATTATGTAGACCAAAAAATACAGAAATTGTTTTTCTTATAAGTGCAATGCTCCCTGCATTCCATGACCAGTGAATCCACAACCCTGTGGAATACACTCAGATGCAAAACATAATGTGGAGAGAAAATTCAGATTGATAAGAAAATTATTATGAAAGGTATATACAGTGGTGCCTCGCAAGACGAAAATAATCCGTTCCGCGAGTCTCTTCGTCTAGCAGTTTTTTCGTCTTGCTAAGCAACCCTATTAGCGGCTTAGCGCTATTAGCCGTTTAGCGGCTTAGCGGCTAAAAGGCTATTAGCGGCTTAGAAAAGGGGGGGGGAGGAAGCGAAAAAAATCGCAAGACTCGAAAGACGTTTTCGTCTTGCGAAGCAAGCCCATAGGGAAATTCGTCTTGCGAAGCGCATCGAAAAACGGAAAACCCTTTCGTCTAGCGGGTTTTTCGTCTTGCGAGGCATTCGTCTTGCGGGGCACCACTGTATTCGTATCTCTTACTTCTTTCTTCCTTTCTGCTTTTATTCTTTTCTTTTTTGCTCCCTCTACATAAGTTTCTATATTTTCTTTTTTCCGTTTAAGTTTGTGCATTTTGATTTATGTATATGTGGAATACAATCAATTAAAAAAATTATTAGCTTCAAAATTATAATAGTGCTAAGCAAAGCATAGAAAGAAAAGGAAGCAATTTTTCAAGCCCAGCAAGAAGTCAGCAACAGAATGCCAACAATTAAGCATCAAAGTTGTTAGATAAGCTTGTGAAGACAACCAAACTTCAAAGAATATCCCAACCACATTTAGCTAGACTGTCTCCCTAGCTTCAAGTAAAAGGCATTGTGAGATATCCATTCTACACAATGGATTGTGAGGGAGGAAAGAAATCATTTGACTGCTATTTATCTTCTTGCAAGCAGAGAACCCAATGAGTTCAAATCTGTACTTTAACACTGAAGAGGGGACCAGACCATTAAAATAATTAAGATTTTAAAAAACAACTGTTTGCCAACTGCCAGGACAATGTTACAAGGATGGGGGGGTGGCATTCCAGATGTTCACTGCTTCTTTAAAAGCTATGTGAGTGCTCCTATGCTGGAATAATCCTGCAAAACAGCAGGCTAAATACCACAGTGCAGTGCAAGGCACATGGATGCGGAGAGTCTCGCTCATCGCTAAAGGCAGGGGTAGGCAACATTCTAGATGTTGTTGGACAATTCTCATCAGTCCCAGACAGCATGGCCAATGGTGAGTGATGATGGAGGTTTAGTCCAACAACATATGGAGGGACAAAGGTTCCCTGCCTTGAGTAACGGTATCACAGACATTATCATACTCCATAGCAGCAGCAGTGGACATGCCAACAGGAAGAAGGGGGAAAACGTACTTTGAGCAAAAGAAGAAATCAGTAAACAAACAAACAAACAAGTTTTTCCAACTTGAATGCTGGGGAAATGTGGTGCCTCTATAGTAGAAGTACTACTTTTCAACATTCATTTGAAAAAGGTCTCAGAAGAAACCCAAAGGTGGAAAAAGAGTCCTTAAAGAAGTTTCTGGGTATCTACCACATTTCACAGAAATGTTATTCAAAGTCAAAGGAGAGAAGCCCATGTCATTAGCACAGCAGACCCAAAGCTGAACCAGCCACTTGCTTGATATAGTGCCATTCTCTAGTAACGTAACTTTTTGGAACGTGCCCTATTCTATGCATATTAAAAAGAAATAGCATGAGTCCAATAAATAACATTCTAGACCTCTCTCAATGCAAACACCACTACTGTACTCCAATTCATTGTAACGAAAACAGTTCAGAGACTTTATGGAAATCTTGTGTGTTTTTACCCTTGTGGCAATTTATTTCATGCATGCAGAAAAGAGAGATGGTCTTGCTTATTAGCATAATTTCAGTCTGCACAGGAAGTTTAATAGTTAGTTCACAAATGGGGGGAGGATCCTAAAATGCATTTCACAAAGCTTACTGCATTGTGGGAGGGGGCAGAAACAGAACCAGACAGACATGCCCACATCAGCAAAAAATTAGAAACTCATGTTTGTTTAGTATACTAACCATGCCACCAAAACAGCCAAAAGGCATAGGGGGGGACTCATTGCCTGAAAGAGAAATACCAGCTCATATAAATTACTGCATTAGTGCTACTGTCTAAAGCAGCCTTCGCCAACCTGGCAACCTCTTGATGGGAGACTACAACTCCCATCAGCAAGACAAAGTCTGGTCTAAAGAATGAAAGCATGCAGGGTACATTCAGATTGTAGTTTTTCATGAAATCATCTGCTGCTATTTGCATAAGTGGCACAGCTCACACTTTTTGCCACTTAGTTTACCTTCTAAATTTTGAGTGACATTTTCACCTTACTGAAGAGGCTGTATGTGCTACTGGTGCAGGCAAATGTCTTGTACCATCATCCTGCCTTGTCTCCTTTTTTACTGGAACTTTTGTCACCCCAAGACTTGAGTTTTTAAACTGTTAAATTCCAGCACTGCACTTGATCACCTAGGAATTTCATAAATTTCCAGCTGCAGATTTAATATGCTATAAACTAACTTAGTTATGTCGTAATCCCAAAGCTCAGCTACTTCATTAACCTTATTACCACTGGCCCATTTGAGACAAATTGGGACAATTTGGGGAGCAGACCAGTGCAAATGGAATCGTGCAAATTCAGCATTGTTCATACAACTTTTAAAAAACTGAACCTACACTTCCAACAGAGTGGAAGAGGAAACTTGTATGCAGGAGATGTATTTTTAAATTATTTATATTTTATTGAAAACATTTCAATTAAACAAAATAAAGTGAAAAAGACAAAAAAAAAGGAAACTAAAGCATAAAAAATACATCAAAAAAGAAAATAAAGAATGGAAAGAAAAACACTAATTCCATACATATTTGTCAAATACAAATGTATTTAAATGAAATTATTAATTTAATCCATATACATTTATTTTTAACATACTATATTTTTTATAAATGCAGAAGTATTTTACGGTTTCTTCTGGGACAGAGAAGGACCAAAAACTAAAGTGAATACTATTCTGGATGGGCCCTTAGGACAACAACATGCTTATATCACCAAGCATTAGAGATCTGTATTTTAGTATACTGACCATGCCACCAAAACTGCCAAAAGGCATAAGCGGAAAACTCGCTGCCTGAAAAAGAAGCATCAGTTCACGTAAATCTGTATATTAGTAACATGGTTTAAAGATTAAAATACAGAAGGAAGGCATGCCCAGATCACCAGAAGACAGAGTTTAGCATTTAGTATACTAACCATGCCACCAAAACTGCCAAAAGGCATAAGGGAACAGCTCGTCTGAAAGAAAAATATCACCTTATGTGAATTGCTGCATGGTGTGTCAGATGGTTCAAATTAATAGGGGGAAAACTTAAAACTCCCTAGCTCAAATTTAAATAAGGCACAGCATAACCAAAACAACGAAGGACCAAAATAGATGTGATGGTGGCAGCCATACTGTTTACATGTAAGCAGGGGATGGGTTTAACTTTTACTACTGGAGGGATAAGAGACAAACCCTCCACCACATAATCTTCTTATGATCCATTATCCAAACTCCTCCCATAACAACCTGGATCCATTATCTGAAGTGAACTAGGCTGAGTGAACAGTGCCATGGGCAACAAGCTACAGACACGTAAGACAAGGGAAGCAGGATTATTCCATTCCTCTCACCCCTATGCATCCCTTTTGATGCTACAATTAGATGCCCCCCACCCCTGCTTTGTACATGACCGGGGAAATGTGAAGAAAAATGGCAGCTTCTGTCACATCTAATGTGGTCCCTGAGATAGGCACTTTCAATTTAAACACAGTTTATTGTAAGTTTGAATACATGTGCTTTTGTGTACCAAAGTATTGCCATGTACCTTTAAGTTCTGTACAGTACTTTACAGTTTTTCTGCTTTTCCAGATATTCAATTCTATTTATTTGCAGTCACGATTAGCCAGTTCAGATGGAGAGAAGTTGATTAAAACCAACAAATCTGTTCCTACTCAACAGATAAATTTTGGTAACTAAATTTCAAAGAGCTAAAATAAACTGCAGGTCACAAAAATTAAAATAAGTGAAGCAGCTACTCTGCTACAAGCATTCATTTTATGTAAAAGCAAGAGATTAATGTAGAGTTAGCAATGAAATACATACATATTCTCTAAAATATTCATAGAACCCTGGCGTTAAACCAAATCATCTCTCCCATGTCAGCAGTTTCAAAGGTCATTGCAAAGAAGTTCTGAGTAAATCTATCACCATATACAGAATGGTCTGACTTATAAATCCACAGTGAAGAAATTATATGCTAGTACACACATATAAATAGATGATGCTATAAACACCATCTAATATGAGAATTCAGCCAACTGGTCTTGAATATCTTTGCATGAAAAAATGATTGGAGAGTCTGGATATAAATCTGAATCCCCCAAAGCATACATGAAAGGTATACTTACACCAAGCTATCACATCAAAATGTATTTTACTACAATAGTCATTTTGTACTTATTCATTTAACACTATGTTTTACAATGCAAAGGCTCATGGACATGCAAAGCCAACTCTGCCCATCTATAACCTACCATCTCTATTTCCTTCAATCCTAAAACTCATTTATTTATTTCTATCCTCATGTAATCCCTACTCCTTTGTTTCCCCAGAGTCAGAGAACTTCATTTGGCTCTCGCAACAGTAACTTTACTTTATTTTGGAGGGCAGGAGGAATTCAGACACACACTTGGAAAATCTTCCCAGCATTCAACCAAAGAGGAGTATTTATTCTGGTAAGTGATGCTGTCACAGCAGCCTGTTTTGCAATGTAGTAAAAAGGAAGTAATCTTATGCACATTCAATTTGTGTGCATTCAGCTTTACGTGCTTCGCAAACAAACAAACAAACAAACAAAAACAAATTAAAAGGGGGGCAGAAAGGGAACAAGCATCTAGGGGAAAACACTTTGGCAATCCCACCCACCATTGCACCTCATGTGTTTTGAATATATGCAGTTTTGGCTTTAGGTGCAATCCCCAGAATGTAACCCCCACATAAGTTGCAGTCTTACTGTATATTGTTTGGCCTTCCACAAATACAGACTAGAAGCTTTTCAGCAGCAGCTGGAATAGTGAAGGTTGCTCGAATTGGTGTTAAGATTAATCTCTTAACGAAGGAATATTTTTAACATTACATATGACCAATCCCAATTAGACTACTGATTCGTGTTAACTGGGCCTGATTTTATTAAGAGAAAGGAAAGGAAATAATAATGCTAAATAACAGACAAAAGCAATACGTGAAAGTAACATAAGCTCACATCATTTCAGAGGCAGAATCAGTTTAAACATTACTCTTAGAGAACTTGTTTTCCAGGTTTCTACACATTATGTCCTTGTAAAATGAATGCAATAACACACTGTCTGTGTAAATCCAAGAACTAATAATATGATCAGGTGCAGAGACAGTCATCAGCACAGCAGCCTTACTTCCTAAATGCAAAGCCCCTCCAGCTGGGTAATTCTATCCCCCAGTCAAACTCCCACTGCTTTGGTGTATCCTTCTGTAACTGGATATATTGAGACCTAGGATTAAAAAGCATTGCACTCTGGTTATAAACTGCAGCCCCTTTGTATGCCTATGCTTGTAGTAATTTCATGAAGGGCTTATTAGGGTCCCCCAACACACATTATAATCCTAAATAGCATTCTTACAAAGTTTGGGTTTTTTTTAGACCATAATAAGTCACATACAATATACAGTGTTAAGATACAGTGGTACCCCGCAAGACGAACGCCTCGCGAGACGAAAAACTCGCAAAACGAAAGGTTTTTTCGTTTTCGAGTTGCCTCGCAAGACGAATTTCCCTATGGGCTTGCTTCGCAAAACGAAGCTTGCCCCGGGGACAGCGGGTCTTCTCTTTTGAAGCAAGGGGCGGCGGGGAGATCGCTTCTCCCGGTGCTCCGAAGCGGGGTGGGGGGGCGGGAACACCTGCCCCAGCCGCCGGGCTTCGTAGCGCTGCTGCGAAGCCGGGCGGGGGGCGGGAACACCTGCCCCAGCCACCCCGCTTCGGAACGCTGCTCCGAAGCGGGGGGGGGGGCGGGAACACCTGCCCCAGCCGCCGGGCTTCGTAGCGCTGCTGGGGCAAGTGTTCCCGCCCCCCCATCCCGCTTCGGAGCAGCGTTCCGAAGCGGGGTGGCTGGGGCAGGTGTTCCCGCCCCCCACCCGGCTTCGCAGCAGCGCTACGAAGCCCGGCGGCTGGGGCAAGTGTTCCCGCCCCCCCCACCCCGCTTCGGAGCAGCGTTCCGAAGCGGGGTGGCTGGGGCAGGTGTTCCCGCCCCCCGCCCGGCTTCGCAGCAGCGCTACAAAGCCCGGCGGCTGGGGCAGGTGTTCCCGCCCCCCGCCCGGCTTCGCAGCAGCGCTACGAAGCCCGGCGGCTGGGGCAGGTGTTCCCGCCCCCCCACCCCGCTTCGGAGCAGCGTTCCGAAGCGGGGTGGCTGGGGCAGGTGTTCCCGCCCCCCGCCCGGCTTCACAGCAGCGCTACGAAGCCCGGCGGCTGGGGCAGGTGTTCCCGCCCCCCCACCCCGCTTCGGAGCAGCGTTCCGAAGCGGGGTGGCTGGGGCAGGTGTTCCCGCCCCCCCGCCCGGCTTCGCAGCAGCGCTACGAAGCCCGGGGACGGGGGCAGGTGTTCCCGCCCCCCCACCCCGCTTCGGAGCAGCGTTCCGAAGCGGGGTGGCTGGGGCAGGTGTTCCCGCCCCCCGCCCGGCTTCGCAGCAGCGCTACAAAGCCCGGCGGCTGGGGCAGGTGTTCCCGCCCCCCCACCCCGCTTCGGAGCAGCGTTCCGAAGCGGGGTGGCTGGGGCAGGTGTTCCCGCCCCCCGCCCGGCTTCGCAGCAGCGCTACGAAGCCCGGGGGCGGGGGCAGGTGTTCCCGCCCCCCCACCCCACTTCGGAGCAGCGTTCCGAAGCGGGGTGGCTGGGGCAGGTGTTCCCGCCCCCCGCCCGGCTTCGCAGCAGCGCTACGAAACCCGGGGGCGGGGGCAGGTGTTCCTGCCCCCCACCCCGCTTCGGAGCAGCGTTCCGAAGCGGGGTGGCTGGGGCAGGTGTTCCCGCCCCCCGCCCGGCTTCGCAGCAGCGCTACGAAGCCCGGCGGCTGGGGCAGGTGTTCCCGCCCCCCCCCCCCCGCTTCGGAGCAGCGTTCCGAAGCGGGGTGGCTGGGGCAGGTGTTCCCGCCCCCCCGCCCGGCTTCGCAGCAGCGCTACGAAGCCCGGCGGCTGGGGCAGGTGTTCCCGCCCCCCCACCCCGCTTCGGAGCACCCGGCGGCTGGGGCAGGTGTTCCCGCCCCCCCCACCCCGCTTCGGAGCAGCGTTCCGAAGCGGGGTGGCTGGGGCAGGTGTTCCCGCCCCCCGCCCGGCTTCGCAGCAGCGCTACAAAGCCCGGCGGCTGGGGCAGGTGTTCCCGCCCCCCGCCCGGCTTCGCAGCAGCGCTACGAAGCCCGGCGGCTGGGGCAGGTGTTCCCGCCCCCCCCACCCCGCTTCGGAGCAGCGTTCCGAAGCGGGGTGGCTGGGGCAGGTGTTCCCGCCCCCCGCCCGGCTTCACAGCAGCGCTACGAAGCCCGGCGGCTGGGGCAGGTGTTCCCGCCCCCCCACCCCGCTTCGGAGCAGCGTTCCGAAGCGGGGTGGCTGGGGCAGGTGTTCCCGCCCCCCCGCCCGGCTTCGCAGCAGCGCTACGAAACCCGGGGGCGGGGGCAGGTGTTCCTGCCCCCCCACCCCGCTTCGGAGCAGCGTTCCGAAGCGGGGTGGCTGGGGCAGGTGTTCCCGCCCCCCGCCCGGCTTCGCAGCAGCGCTACGAAGCCCGGCGGCTGGGGCAGGTGTTCCCGCCCCCCCCGCTTCGGAGCAGCGTTCCGAAGCGGGGTGGCTGGGGCAGGTGTTCCCGCCCCCCGCCCGGCTTCGCAGCAGCGCTACGAAGCCCGGCGGCTGGGGCAGGTGTTCCCGCCCCCCCACCCCGCTTCGGAGCACCCGGCGGCTGGGGCAGGTGTTCCCGCCCCCCCCACCCCGCTTCGGAGCAGCGTTCCGAAGCGGGGTGGCTGGGGCAGGTGTTCCCGCCCCCCGCCCGGCTTCGCAGCAGCGCTACAAAGCCCGGCGGCTGGGGCAGGTGTTCCCGCCCCCCGCCCGGCTTCGCAGCAGCGCTACGAAGCCCGGCGGCTGGGGCAGGTGTTCCCGCCCCCCCCCACCCCGCTTCGGAGCAGCGTTCCGAAGCGGGGTGGCTGGGGCAGGTGTTCCCGCCCCCCGCCCGGCTTCACAGCAGCGCTACGAAGCCCGGCGGCTGGGGCAGGTGTTCCCGCCCCCCCACCCCGCTTCGGAGCAGCGTTCCGAAGCGGGGTGGCTGGGGCAGGTGTTCCCGCCCCCCCGCCCGGCTTCGCAGCAGCGCTACGAAACCCGGGGGCGGGGGCAGGTGTTCCTGCCCCCCCACCCCGCTTCGGAGCAGCGTTCCGAAGCGGGGTGGCTGGGGCAGGTGTTCCCGCCCCCCGCCCGGCTTCGCAGCAGCGCTACGAAGCCCGGCGGCTGGGGCAGGTGTTCCCGCCCCCCCCCCCGCTTCGGAGCAGCGTTCCGAAGCGGGGTGGCTGGGGCAGGTGTTCCCGCCCCCCCGCCCGGCTTCGCAGCAGCGCTACGAAGCCCGGCGGCTGGGGCAGGTGTTCCCGCCCCCCCACCCCGCTTCGGAGCACCCGGCGGCTGGGGCAGGTGTTCCCGCCCCCCCCACCCCGCTTCGGAGCAGCGTTCCGAAGCGGGGTGGCTGGGGCAGGTGTTCCCGCCCCCCGCCCGGCTTCGCAGCAGCGCTACAAAGCCCGGCGGCTGGGGCAGGTGTTCCCGCCCCCCGCCCGGCTTCGCAGCAGCGCTACGAAGCCCGGCGGCTGGGGCAGGTGTTCCCGCCCCCCCCACCCCGCTTCGGAGCAGCGTTCCGAAGCGGGGTGGCTGGGGCAGGTGTTCCCGCCCCCGCCCGGCTTCACAGCAGCGCTACGAAGCCCGGCGGCTGGGGCAGGTGTTCCTGTGTGTAGAAACCTGGAAACAAGTTCTCTAAGAGTAATGTTTAAACTGATTCTGCCTCTGAAATGATGTGAGTTTATGTTACTTTCACGTATTGCTTTTGTCTGTTATTTAGGAGGTGTCACGTATTGCTCCGAAGCGGGGTGGGGGGGGCAGGAACACCTGCCCCAGCCGCCGGGCTTCGTAGCGCTGCTGCGAAGCCGGGCGGGGGGCGGGAACACCTGCCCCAGCCGCCGGGCTTTGTAGCGCTGCTGCGAAGCCGGGCGGGGGGCGGGAACACCTGCCCCAGCCACCCCGCTTCGGAACGCTGCTCCGAAGCGGGGTGGGGGGGGCGGGAACACTTGCCCCAGTCGCCGGGCTTCGTAGCGCTGCTGCGAAGCCGGGTGGGGGGCGGGAACACCTGCCCCAGCCACCCCGCTTCGGAACGCTGCTCCGAAGCGGGATGGGGGGCGGGAACACTTGCCCCAGCCGCCGGGCTTCGTAGCGCTGCTGCGAAGCCGGGCGGGGGGCGGGAACACTTGCCCCAGCCGCCGGGCTTCGTAGCGCTGCTGCGAAGCCGGGTGGGGGGCGGGAACACCTGCCCCAGCCACCCCGCTTCGGAACGCTGCTCCGAAGCGGGGTGGGGGGGGGCGGGAACACTTGCCCCAGCCGCCGGGCTTCGTAGCGCTGCTGCGAAGCCGGGTGCTGGGCGGGAACACCTGCCCCAGCCACCCCGCTTCGGAACGCTGCTCCGAAGCGGGGTGGGGGGGGCGGGAACACCTGCCCCAGCCGCCGGGCTTCGTAGCGCTGCTGCGAAGCCGGGCAGGGGGGGGGGCGGGAACACCTTCTGAAGGCGGGCGGGGGGCGAAAGTCTTTGTCCCCCCTGCCTGCCTTCCCAGGGGCTTTTAAATCGTCCCGGACAGCGGAGAAGTCCTCCGCTGTCCCGGGGCGATTTTAAAATGCCGCCCGCCAGCATTTTAAGATCGCCCGGACAGCGGAGAAGTCCTCCGCTGTCCCAGGGTTTTTTTAAAATGCTGGGGGTGGGAAGAAAAGCCCTTGTCCCCCCCCCCCCCAGCCTTCAGAAGAGGTCCGGGGACAGTCTGTCCCCGGACCTGGTCTGAAGGCGGTTTCCCTAGGAACGCATTAATTGATTTTCAATGCATTCCTATGGGAAACCGTGCATCGCAAGACGAAAAAACCGCAAGACGAAGAGACTTGCGGAACGAATTAATTTCGTCTTGCGAGGCACCACTGTACATAGAGTCACTGAACTTTAAATAATCTGCCATGTGCAACGGAGAGCATTGTATGTATACTCTACTTCAAAAGGTAAGACACTGTTTCAGCTGCTGTCAACTAACATGATTTTTTAAAATTTATTTGTTCAAAACACAATGCTAGGCTACAACTCACATCATCTTTGACCATCAACTTTGCTGGCTGGGACCAATGGAAGTTCAACGTTCAAAACATCCAGCAGGCTACAGGTTCCCCAGCTCTGCTACAGAGCAGTTTTAAGACACGACTAAATGACTAAACAACAACAACAAAGCATATAGATTGGTCTGCATCAAATATTTTTTTAAAAAATGTTTTGCCATTGCCAGAAAAACAAGCTTGTAAAAAACCTGAATGACTGAAATAACTCTATTTAGAAACAGTGCTTAGGCAGTCTCTATGTGTTCCAACAATTGTTGTGCCAACTTGGCCCATCAATTTAAATGCAATTGTTTCAGATAGGTGAATTGAATTGGCATACTAACAGATACCAATTACAGATAGGTAGCCGTGTTGGTCTGCCATAGTCAAAACAAAAAAAATTCCTTCCAGTAGCACCTTTGGTATATTTAGTATCTGAAGAAGTGTGCATGCACACGAAAGCTCATACCAAGAACTAACTTAGTTGGTCTTTAAGGAGCTACTGGAAGGAATTTTTTTTGTTTTAACAGATACCAAGTATGTTTATAAGGAACGTATTCTGGGCCCTTTTCTGTACAACCAGGTCAGAATAACTGCCTGATTTCTGATCTGTGTAAGATATGAATGTCCACAGCCAAAAAGATTTCTATTGTCCGGCTGGGGAGACCCAGCCAGATGGGTGGGGTATAAATAATAAATTTATCATCATTTTTTATTATTATTATTATTATTATTATTATTATGTTGTGGAATGGTTTAAGGTATCTTCCCAAGTTCTAACGTACTCTCTTAGATGTGCAATATGTATGACAGGCACTCAGAGTGAGAGTGTTTGGAATTTGTTTTTTAAGTAATAGCAAATAAAATGTGAGGGCTTTAATGGGGGTGTTTGCATTGCTCTATCTGGCCTTTTTTAAAGACAAATGATTAGTTAACTATGTATTCTTTTCTGAATTGTAGATATAAGCCCGTAATTCAAGGCAGGGATGGGGAACCTCTTTCAGCTCAAGCGCCACCTTCCATTCTGGGCAACCTTTTGAGGGTCACATAACAGACAGTACAGCAGCTAATGGTCATTTTTTTACTTCTGTACAATACACTAGTTTCTGCATACATTTCCACACACCCCTGTATCCTCCTGGAGACAAGCAAGAGCCATTATCAGAGTTCGGGGAAACATTCAACTAAATATAAGTTCCCAGGCTTGCAATTGCAACAAAAGATGGAGAAGCCCAAGTGCATCTTTGCATCTCTGATTAAATGTTTAAACATTTGCTGAAAAATCTGGTGCTGCTCACAAAAGCAGAACTGAATCTGAAGCAAACCCAACTGTTACGTTTCAAATAGAAATGCTTATAAACTAGAAGCACACGATCCGGTGGCTACCCTGCAGGTGACAGTTTCTGCTGCTGCTAGCTTTATTAAAGCATCAGTTCCCACTGTATAGTTTACTGATCTTGGCACAATTCCACACCCCCTGTGGTTATGTTACCCATGAATGCAAATTCCACAGGCTTAGTTTTGACACTAAGTAGCCAGCAGAAGATATTGTAAAAGTCAACACACCTAAATAAATACACAGTCTTCCAAACCCCAGGAAACCAAAATAAAAATGTAACCATCACATTTTTTTGAAGCAGAAATATTACTTTATCATTACATAAGTGGATACCTTGTACAATAGTGAATATATAAGTAAAGCAAAACGTATTACAGTTTCATATTTGAAGTTGCTATGTCTATTAAGTTTCCTGTCAATTTATTTAAGTTCTTTATCAGCTGATGCCAAGACTCGCAATGTCAGGAAGACTGCAACCCTAACCATGTCCACTCAGAAGTTAAGTCCTTTTGAATTCAATGGGGTTCACCATTAGGATTGCAGCCTTAGATGGAATATACTATCACGTCACTAAGCATCATGTTATAGTACTGTTACAGGTTTGCATAATCAGATAAACTTAAGGATCAATGTGCCAACTAATACATCTTTCTACAGGAGAAGGGATCAGTTAGAATGCAAGTTTCAATACATTAAACCTTGTTTAATTTATTTGCTCCATGACTTAATATTCTAGTTTTTGGTGGTTATTTACAAAGAGAGTTAAACATCATTATCTCTAATTTACATGAGAGATGCACCAAGAGTAAACTGACTGGCCCAAGTACCAAACCATCAGCTGGGGGGAGTGGGGAAGCAAGCTGAGATCCACCATACTTTGTCCCTGATTGCAGGTAACCTGCAAGACTATAAAATGACATACCTTGTGATTGTCTCTCAAAGCAACCTGAGAATCAGGACGTCCTCTTTGATGTAGAGCTCCTTCCCCACCATCTTTAATTGAGAGAAATGGATCTCGTCCAAAAGGTTCAGAAAAGAAACGACGCATATGATCATTGTGTGCGACAAATGGATCCCTAAAGATAATATTAAGGGGGGGGGAGAGAGAGAAACAGCTCATATATAGCCATGCATTTAGAAAAAACAGACAAGATTCCAAGGTGTAAAACTGCTATCTTGATGGAGAGAGTGCAGTCTTTACCCTACTTAGGACAGCCACAGCATACTGCTGTCTTAAATTAAAATCAATACACATTTCGCTGTTACACAAAGAATATTAGGAAGTGGCATACTCGAAATACAGTGGTACCTCAGGTTACATACGCTTCAGGTTACATACACTTCAGGTTACAGACTCCGCTAACCCAGAAACAGTGCTTTGTTTCAGGATGAGAACAGAAATCGTGCTCCAGTGGCGTGGCGGCAGCAGGAGGCCCCATTAGCTAAAGTGGTGCTTCAGGTTAAGAACAGTTTCAGGTTAAGAACAGACCTCTGGAACGAATTAAGTACTTAACCCAAGGTACCACTGTAGTGACTCATACAGAGTGGCAACATGACATCCTCTAAGGTCAGATAATTTTGTAACAGGTAGAATGGGTTCATTCAATATTATCACTCCTAATACAGACTCACAGCAAAATTTACTATTCTTAAAGGAAGCCAATTGAAAGGCTTTTAGAGCTTTATAGGAGTCTGAACCATTTCTCTGAGCATGCAAGTAGTTCTTCCAACTGACACTGGTGTGTTCTGGCATGCAGTTTAGAAATGATTGAGATAGTGTATATAATTATTCTGTCCTTGGCACCTGAATGTGCATCATTTTAACATGGAAACAGCAGCCAGTCTGCTGTGACTGTTCTCCTATAGATTCTTATCCCTTGAAAAGAGCTTAGTCTGCATAATTTATTTATTTATTTTTAACAGAAAGGCTTTATTAGAACAGATGGTTCAGTACAAGAGACCAGCCACAGCAGACGACTGTAATATCAAGAGTGAGATAATACAGAGAACTTCTTGGCTAACTAAATGCACAGGACTGTATTTTGCAGGAGGGAAACTGTTTCTGCACCTGTCTGCGCTATTCAGGAAAAAACTTGGCAGGACCAGAAAACATTTTGCCTGAGATCAACTAGAGCTTCCCTGGAACAGCTGCTTGGTCAGGGAGACATTTATAAAACCAATTTTATCCTAGACAGTATTTCTAGCTTGCCAGATCAAGATCTCTCCTTGTGAGGCTGAGGAAGCTTTCCTATTAGTACACAGTTTTAGAAATTAGTTCCAATGTGAAGTAGCCCTATCCACTTGCATGATGATCTAGTCTGCAATGTCTAGAATAGCACTTGCTATTACAATTTGGATTAGACTCTGAGCAGCTTCCAAACCAGACAATGGTCAGCCATTATGGCTACTAAAATAACAGAACTGCACAGTCCCCACATGGTGTGTGGGTGTACAAACACACACACACTCTCATTTTGTAATTGTTTTATTTTGTAATAGTTGGGAGCCCTGAATCTTGGAAAAGAGTTCATAAAATTGTGAGGTTCGAACTAGGAGCTTCGTAGTTCACACTTCCTTTCCCTATACTGATAGGATTCTTTTTATCAGACTAAAATTACATGTTGACAATTTCTATATAGGACTTTGTGCATTGCTGGTCTCAGCATCCATCCATGGTTCTATTGCTTCCCACATTCCATAGCATGGGTTCTATTAACAGGCACTCCCTCATATCACTCCAAATGCAAAAGAGTAGGCAGACAATAAAGAAACCAAAACAAACATCCTGTAGAGACTATTCCCAAAATGCTTTAGTGGGTGCTTGCTACGCACTTTTCAAACTTAATTTCTGCTAAATTGCAAAGGAAATTAGATGACTAGTCAAAGAAACTAGGTGCAGGATTAATTTGACGGTCAGAGTCAGTAATGAACCCTTTGGTCCCAATCCAGCAACACTACTGTGGACCTTCTAGAAGTGGAGTATCCACAGGCCAATACTTTTGCTTCATTTGCACCTCCCATCTATTTCTTCCTAAGCAGCAGCAACATAAGTTTAGACTTCTACATGAAGACTAAAAGGACAAGATTGTGGTTAAGAAGAGGGAGGATCGAGTGCAAAGGAAAGAACCTGCCTGTGCATGCAAGCCTTTGGATCAGTGCCACTGGATTTCAATACAGTAGGAGTTGGCTGCAGAGCTGACATAAAAGCTGAGAACCTTGTCAAGGACTTTAAAAGAGCAATCTAAAAAGTTGCTGACACTATGTAAAATCATCCACAAGTTCCATTCAGATTTCAAAGGATGTGTGACCTTGTACAATTTTAGCTTAAGGGGACACAACAGAGACAGGATTGGGTGTGTACTAACTAAGGGAGTTCCCAAAACCAAAACACCTGCATATACAGTGTTAAGAAAGCATTAGGCCTCCTGAATCCAGCTTAAACTGAGCTATATAATCAAGACAGATTACAACTTTTAAGTATGGACCTAGGCATGAAGATGGCCCACTGAGTTATATAACTTCTGTCTGGGCATTCTTCAAGCAAAAACTAATACTGTATCAGAACTGGGTTTTAAACCCATTCCGGGTTTAACCAGGCCATAAAAATTAAAAGGTCAACCACAAACTTGCTACATAGGTCGTCCCCCACCATGTCAAATGCTGAAGTTATTTAGGGCTGCTTACAAACATGTAATTAAAGGAAAGTTGCAGAACTTCAGATCCCATACATGTTCAGTGTAAGCCACACAGAGCTCAATTAAATATACAGAGGATCACAGCCTTATTTTTTTTATAATACCCATCTACTCAGGCTTATTTCCAGGTAAGCCTACATAGGATTGCAGCATTAAAGGATGACTATGCAGTGTTTACTCAGAAGTAAGTCCCACTGTGATCAATGGGTTTTATACCTAGAAAGTGTGTTTAGGATTAACCAGATACAATGCCTGACATATATAAAATTTATATGAACAAGAAGAATGATTCTCAGGTGCATTTGGCCTAGATTACTGCAGGAGAAAAGTAGCATTTTAAGCTATTTAAAAGAACATAAATCCTTTTTTCTCCCCCACCCCATGTTCTATTATGACAGAACAAAATGAAATACGTTATATATCATTTCCCACAAATTGAAGGAAATGTTTAAAATAACATTTGTGGAAAAAACAGAGACTTTTTAGGTACAGAGATTCCGAAAGAGCAGAAAAGACTATTTATGTATGCGACAACAGCAGCAAGGATATTACAGGCCCAGAGATAGAAAGAAGATAAAGTTCCAACCAAAGAAGAATGGCTAATGAAGATGATGGACTATGCCGAAATGGCAAAATTGACCAGGAGAATCAGAGACTGGGATGAGAAGACGTTTAACAAAGAACGGGGAAAATATAGAATTTATTTAAGAGAACATTGTAAACAACTAAAAACTTTGGCAGGATTAGAGTAATACTTGTAATGTACAAAACACAATGGAAAAAGGTAATACTGTTGTTAACAAATTTGTTAAAATATGGATAAGCTGAAAGAAAAAGGGATTGACATTGAAAACCAGAGAAAGGGGGGGGTAGGAAGTCTAGGGATTCTGAGAATCCTAAAAGTGAAGGCAAACAATATGTTTAAATTGTAATATGTTATGTACAACTCAATTTTAAAAATTATATAAAAAGAAATAAGTTTTATGCCTTCTAATTTTCAGTACTTACTCAACATAAAAAAACTAAGTTGCAAAAGGGTCATTAACTGCTCTCTAAAAATGTCTTTAATTGGTGTTTTTCCTGCTGTGCACTTTCATGCTATTTCATGCTACCGGAGACCACATGTTTTTTATACTGCAGAAGTAACAATAATAAAGGCAACACATTAAAAGATGCTAGGCTTCTGAAAGTAAACACAGAAACAACAACCACTTGTTATCTGAAAAATAAAAATAAAAAACACACACACAGCGTTTTAAAAAGGCTTTAGAAAGGCATCCCTTTCAGCATATCAGCACAAAACAAAAACTTCTTGGGAGCAAGAGAAAACAGGGTTGTTTATATAGGTGCCATTTTCAGCACCTATATAACATGGACTGAACCCCTTTTACTTCCAGGTCCTGAGAACAGCACTGCTCACACCAAATCTTAGCAAGGCACCAAAAGAACACTCCAACCATTCTTTTCCTGAGGAGGCCAGTGGCTCAGTTCCAGAACTCTGGGAAGGCTTCAGACACACACACACACACAAAAAGGGGGGGGGGGACCAGGGGACCTTTAAAACCAACAGCTTTATTGTAGAGCAAGCTTTCATGAACTACAGCCCTCTTTTCCCACTGCACGCCTCAAGCAGGCATAACACAGTTCCGTGGGAGCAGAGGGATTAATCTGGACTGGATCCAAACCTCACTTAGTCGAGCTTAGGGTCCCCCAAGGAAATCAATGAGGCCATAACGCAGTTATTATCGCTTCGATTTCAAGGGGTGCACGTTCAGCTAACTTAAAGAGCATAGCTGTCAACTTTTCCCTTTTCTTGCGAGGAATCCTATTCGGAATAAGGGAATTTCCCTTTAAAAAAGGGGAAAGTTGACAGCTACGCTTAAGGGCCTGCACCTTAAGATCTAGCGAGGACATGAAGATGCAACTTTTTTTTATTGCACCTTCGCAACGGGGGCGGGGAGGCAAATTCTGCTGAAGTGAATAAGCAAGGTTGGGGGGGGAATAGTAAAGAGAATTCAGCGACCTTAAAAGAGGGGGGAGTGAATTATTGTTGTTTTTGAGGGGGGCCCCTCACACCGTCAGGCTCCGCGCTTTCTCTTTTTGACACGTCTGGAGAGAAGGAACGTCAGAAAACGGTCGGCGGGGGTGTGACAAGAAGAGGAAAAGGCAACGGAGAGATGCGCATCCCAGAGGGAATGTCTATGGGGGCAAATGGGGGAAACGCCAACGCCGCCTTCACCGCCTCCCTCAGGGCGATGCCGTAAGTAAGGAACGGAGCCCACCCACGCAGCGCCCCCCCTCATAACCCAGGCCGACCCCCCCCCTCCCCCTCACCGAAAGAAAGGATCCTCCTCGAAGATTCTGGACCAACCCCCGAACATGGCTCCGGCTCGTGAGGCGCCTCTCGCGCTTCTCCTTCAGCCCGCCGCGTCCCGCTCGAGGTGTTGCCGCCGCTCGCGGGCCTCCCCTGACGACGGGCTCTAAGGAGGCGAACCGCCCGCTCGGCCGCCACGCCCCTTCTCCCTCGCCACGCCCCCCTCGGAACCCTGCGCTTCTCTTTCCCATTGGCCCTGGCGAGCATCCAACATGGCGGCGGGCGACAATAGGGCTGGAATGCTGCCATGGCAACGGGCTCCGAGGCAGGGCCTCCCCGCTGGTGCCCGGCTGCCTTAAGTGGTCTTCAGTTCGCTGTTCCGCCGCCGCCCCTCTCCCTCCGCCCCAAAGTTCCGGCTTCCGGGGAGAAGCTACCCATCATATGGGTATCGCGGTGCCAAGGAGGCAGCGCCGAGTTAACATGAAGGCTGCCCACCCTTCCTTCCTTCCTTCCTTCCTTCCTTCCTTCCTTCCTCTTTATCCATCCTTGAGAGGTTTTTTTGTTTTTTAAATAAAATTTAAATAGGACTCTGATATAACAACGAATTCATAAAAAGCGTGCACATCTTACAAAGGAGAGAAACCAGCAGCAGTTTTAAAAAGCAGGATAATATATCTGAGTTAATTGTTTTATTAATATGTAATTTAAATTGCATGCTGCTTTGATGCATTTTCTAACTCTCTTTATCATTTTTGAGAGGCGGCAACCAAATCTATATACAGCATTAACAGAATAATTTGTTTTATTACCACCCTGCACCATTCCAAATGCAGCTGCATCATGGATTGTTGTTCTTTAGTCGTTTAGTTGTGTCCGACTCTTCGTGACCCCATGGACCAGAGCACGCCAGGCACTTCTGTCTTCCACTGCCTCCCGCAGTTTGGTCAAACTCATGCTGGTAGCTTTGAGAACACTATCCAACCATCTCATCCTCTGTCGCCCCCTTCTCCTTGTGCCCTCCATCTTTCCCAACATCAGGGTCTTTTCCAGGGAATCTTCTCTTCTGATGAGATGGCCAAAGTATTGGAGCCTCAGCTTCACAATCTGTTCTTCCAGTGAGCACTCATTTTGACACTGCTAAATTCAGTGTCCCGCAACCCATCTTAACACTCCAAGCATTGAATTCCAACATTTAACTAAATCCAGGAATTATTGGTTTCTTGCACCCACAAACTCTGGCACCCCAAAACTCATAAGTGAGACATGGTTTATCGTTCATTTCCCCCTTTTACTTGAGAAAACTAAGTATTGGATTCTTGTGATGGCAGCGGAAATATGATCTGAATCAGAGGAAGTAAGCTGTCCTGCTTTAAATGACATAATCATAAATGACATTCCATTCTCAGGGCTCAGGTGATGCAATATGTTTGAAAAAATAAACAATAGGTGGACAAGTATGTGTCCTTAAAACAACCTTAAAGTTACCTCCTTTGACAGAATGATGGCTCAGGTTGCCCAGCTGGCATGAAAAGACATACTAAGTAATAAATCAAAATTCAGTAACTAATTCAGAATTAGTTATGTAAAACAACCATACTTGCATCCCGTATTTTGTATCATTTATATTTTATTAGCCCATTTGTTTTAGGTGTTTTACAGCACGAGATCAGCTGGGATGCAAGAGTTTGGGATTGGGGGATCTTGGGCTTTCTTGGCTCAGCTGGGGCTACACTGGCAGCCTAATTTGCCCTAGTGTACATCCTCAAAATGGGGCATTCTGGGGAAGTGGTGAGGGCAAGACAAGGACCTATACAAAGCCCTGTTCAGCATGGTCATGTGACCTATGTGCAATGCTCAAAACTTGGGCCCACCTCACCTGCTGGTTCAGCCTGCAGAAGACCCTCCCAGGGATTCCTGGATGGAATTTGGAATTTCAAAATTTCTTACTTAGGAATGCTCTGTTAATCTGCAATGTTTTTTATGCTAGCATTTTATTCTACTGTACCATGTGATCTTACTGTTTAGCTGTCTTGATTTTGTAAGCTGCTATGCGAGCTTTGGCTGAAGACTGCCTTAAAAATATTTTAGAAAATAATAACTGGAGTGCTTGGTCTTTTAGAAGGCATAATGGGCGCCTGATAGAATGGAGAGAACCAGTGAGACATGGTTGTCTCTGGATAAAAACTCTATAGGAAGGACAGGGAAGGAGGTGGTGTCACCTGGAGGTCAAAGAGGGCATTGAGTCCAGCAAGCTAGAAATCCTAAAAGGGGCACTCCTCTACAGAACCGTTGTGGAGTAACATAGAGTAACATAGTGCTGGGGACATAGTAACATAGAGTAACATAGTGGTGGGGACATGCTGTTGTGTCCCTGATCAAAAGGCTCAGGAGATCTTGAGATAAAGAATGAAATCAAGGAAACATCAAAAAGTTGCAAGAATTCGTGACTTCAGCTACTGCTTCTTGGACTGGTTACATAATGTGTTCATCACAACAAAGAGCTAAAATTTGTAGATACCCTAAATGATTGTGCCCTAGAACAGCTGGTCTGACTGGGAGGGCGGTGACCATGGACTTAATATTGAGTGGCACACAGGACCTGTTGCGAGAGGTTGTAGATCCAAGTGACAGATAAAAGAAAGTACTTCTCCATGCAAAGCATAGTTAAACTATGGAACTTGCTCCCATACTAGTCAGTGGAGTGCCATTTATTTCAGGCCAAATGAGATTATTTCTCAGGAGTACCAACATCTCTGCTTATTAAAAAGTAACAACAAATGCTCTTAAAATAGACTTGTTTTGCAATGGAACAGATCCAAGACCAGGTCCTCTGAGTATCACTGTGAAACTTTGGATGCCCCTGCTGTCAAATATAAGGTAGGCAGTAATCAGGGAAAGGACCTTCTCAGTGGTGGCACCCTGCTTGTGGAATACGTTGCTAGTATTGTTTGCCTAACACCTATTCTGAGCTGCAAATACCTTTTTACTCTCCAAGGCATTTTAACTGGAAGCTTTATTTCCAGTGATTAGTTTTTATGCTTCTCTGCCACCTGCTGTTTTAGATTTTATTGCTGTTGGGGTTTTTGGTATACATATTATCATTGTTGTTATATAATTGCACTTGAGTATTTTAAATATGTTGGGATGTAGATGGCGCTGTGGTCTAAACCACAGAGCCTAGGGCTTGCCAATCAGAAGGTCGGTGGTTCAAATCCCCATGACGGGGTAAGCTCCCGTTGCTCGGTCCCAGCTCCTGCCAACCTAGCTGTTCGAAAGCATGTCAAAGTGCAAGTAGATAAATTGGTACCGCTCCGGCGGGAAGGTAAACGGTGTTTCGTGCGCTGCTCTGGTTCGCCAGAAGCGGCTTAGTCTTGCTGGCCACATGACCCGGAAGCTGTACGCCGGCTCCCTCGGCCAATAAAGCGAGATGAGCACCGCAACCCCAGAGCCGTCCGTGACTGGGCTTAACGGTCAGGGGTCCCTTTACCTTTACCTTATTTTAAATATACCCTAGCAATGTTTCTTTGATGGGCAGGATATAAATAGCTAAAACAGATACATCACACACAGAGAAATCTAAAATGGTGCCAACTATCCTTTCAGTTCACTTCCAAGCTGATTCCTATATGCAAACTCATTCTCAAGGTCAAAGCATGCTACCACTATACAAGGTAAATGGGTATCTGAATTACAACACAAATGAGAGAAATATGAACTGAGCACTCTGGATTGTTTTAAAATTGCTTTGTAGAAAACAGTGTGTCTGAAAACAGTTAAAATCTTCCAATTGGGCTGAAGAAAGATTAGGCTTAAAAGAGGAGGCTGCCTCATTCAGAACAGGACACAGCCACCTGTGGTTTTTATAGGTGAGGAAAACTGGAATAAAGAACAGCACAGAGAAAAGATTTTAAGCAGGCCACACTGTTTATTGAAAGGGCTTACAAAACAATTTGTTTCAGTGGGTCAACCAAATAAATTTGCCATAAAATCACAGCATGAGAATGCCCCCTTTAAAATGCTTATGCCATCAACATAGTAATCAAGGCCAAACTTAAAACTAACATAGATATTGACTGTTCTCAAAACCAAGAGCCTGTGTAATTTTACCAAATTAGAGTTTAAGATGCTTGGCCTATAAAATACAACAAATAAAAAAAAAGAATAGAAGTAAAAGCTCCCTCATCTGTGTCCTTTTCAGGAAATCTAAAACTCCTTAAAACAGATCTAAGCTTATCCAGGATCTTGGTCCAACCCTACAATGTCAGGCATGCTGCATCAGATTGTGAATTCACCAGAGTTCACCCCAGCCTAAGTTAGTCAAACTCCTTCAGGGAGCCTGATGAGTGCAACAGCTCCCTTTACAGTGCTGTAGTTCATATGCCATAAATACTCAAGAGATTTCAAGGGGTTCCAGCCTTGAATTCATTTCCCAATTTCCATTCATTCTCTCCCTCAAAAGTAATTTATGTCAAGCTTTTGCTAACAGAAGTACAACTCACTTACAACAACCGGACATCACGTGGGAATCTAGGAGGGATTTAATCACTCAGTTCAAGAGAGTATTAATTACAGTGCTTTTATAGCAAAAACATAATCATACAATTAGTATATTACTCAGTTCATTATGTAGCTGTCGCTGTTGATTCCCAATGGCAATCCCATTTCTCAATACTAACTAGCGCAGTTTGTTGGGTTTTAACTTTCAGCATCGAGTGCTTAGCTTTAGATAAAGGCAAGAGGATACAGAATTTGCTGGCTGTCTCTCCTAAGATAGAGAGACACACTGGGTGAGGCATACTTCTGTGTTGAGTGTGTTCTGATAACTGTTTGCTTCTATGTTTTTCCAAACAGTAGCTTCCAAACTTTGAGTGTCACTGTTCGAGGATGTATAAGAACAGTGTCACCTTGTGGAAGGCTTCACTGAGGGTTAAGGTGCTTCTAGCTAATTAAATCACAAGATCTCCCAACCTTTAGTTTATGCTGCTACATCTTTTCCTTTGGACAAAAGGAGAGAAGCACTTGGGATCTTTAAAATACTAACAACATGTCTGTGGAAACTGAAAAGCTTGGGGTGTGGGGGACAAACCATGCCCAGTTCAAAAGCAAAATAACCAGTAGGAAAATAACAGGGTCTATCCCATGCTCAAGGCTGGATTGAGTTGGCTGGCGCCCCTGATGTA